TAGTCCCAGCTACTCGGGAGGCTGAGGCAGGAGGATCGCTTGAGCCCAGGAGTTTGAGGTTGCTGTGAGCTAGGCTGACGCTACGGCACTCTAGCCAGGGCAACAGAGTGAGACTCTGTCTCAAAAAAAAAAAAGAATAAATAAAGTATTCCCTTTAAGATTCCAAACACATCAAGGATGACCACTATCACTGCTACTGCTTAACGTGGTACAGAAGATCTTTATCAGTGCTATGATAAAAAGAAATATAAATTGGAATATTAAAAGAAATAAAACTATCACTATGTGCAGATGATCATCTATATAGAAAATCCAGTAGAATGAACTGACAAATATTAGAGCAAATGAGGTTCAGCAAGTGAAGACCACCACTGACAAAGTTGGCAGTAAAATTGGGAGAAGATATTTTTAATGTGAAACCAACAAATGACTAACATCTAGAATACACAAGGAACTTCTAAAATTCAAAAACGAACAGAAAAATGGAAAAGTTGGCAAAAATATGAACAGATAATTCACAGAAACTGAAACCCAGATGACTAATAAGAACATCAAGAAGTGTTTGAACTCATTGAAAATCAGAAAAATGCAAAGAAAACAATGGGATACTAAATACAACCTCAGATTGGCAAAAGTTAAAGAGTCGGAGAGCATGTAGAGAAATGGGAACTCTCATGCATTGCTGGAGAAAGTAAAAATTGGTTGAACCATTCTGGAAAAAGCAGTCTGACAATGCCTAGGGAAATTAAGAATGCATAGATGTTATGATAGAGCAATACCACTCCTGGATGTATTTCCCATAGAAATCTTTGCATGGATCCATAAAAAGGCACTTTCACAACATTGTTTGTGGAGACACAGTTGGAAGCAATCTGGTTGTCTCTTGTGGCAATATAAATTGGTATAAGGTCACTGGTACCCCTATGGATAGTAGGAGTCAAAAATTCAAATGCCTAAAGGACCAAGAGGACATCATTAATGGGTAAAGCTGACCAGGTAAGGACAGAGCCCATGTAAAGAGGATAATCTTTACTCAGCTCCAGACAACTATTGGCAGGTGGAACCAGGGGAAAAGAGCTACCCTAATGCCATACTTCTCCAAATATAAAAACTCCATTAATTGCAAGTAACATCCTTATTTTATGTGCCATTAAGAAAGAAAAGGTGCTACTAAATATATGACACTGTATTTCAGTAATACTAAATTGTAAAAAAAAGTGTGTCCAATGGTAAAACATGGTATTTCTGATTTTTCAGAGAAGCCAAAAATCTGGATTTTAATGTGAAATATAATCATTTTAAAGACACCGGAAGGTAATTTTTTAAAAATTTAAATATTATGTGGGCCAGTATTTCTGGAGGGCCCCAGGTCTACCAGTTTGCAGACTCAGCTAGTTCATCTAATTATAGTCATGCAGTGCATAATGACATTTCCGTCAACTACGGACCACATATATGACAGTAGTGCCATAAGAGTATAATACCATATTTTTACTGTACCTTTTCTGTGTTTAGATAAATAAATACCATTGCATTCCAGTTGCCTACAGTGTTCAGTATAGTAACATGCTGTACAGGTTTGTAGCCTAGGAGCAACAGACAGTACCATGTAACCCAGGCGTGTAGTAAGCTATACCATTTGGGTTTGTGTAAGTACACTCTATGACATTTGCACGACAAAACTGCCTAACGACACTCAGAACATATCTCCATTGTCATTAAGTGACGTATGACTGTATTGCTTCTGATTCTCTATTTAAAAATTTTCAACAATCCCCATGGTTCAAACTTTCATAATTATTTAGGGCTGAGTCTTTCTTCACCTGAATATAAACCTAGGTTCCAGAACTTTTAGCTTTCCTTGACAGTGATTTTCAACTAAGTGCCTGTGGAATAAAGTAAGGATAGCAAGGGCGAAAGCTACTTTTTAAAGAATGGTGTTTAATCTTGTGGTTGTGAGGGTGGGCATGACTTCATCATTTCAGTCTCCTGGGCTCAATTTCTGCTCACTTGTATAGGATTTAAATCACAAAAAGAAGACAGCTAATTATACTTATTCTTCATAAACATCTCCATCTGGCAGGACAATCATATACTTTGCTAAATAGCTTTGGCTGGGTCTGTAACCCTTTTTAAACCACTACTTGGAACTACCAAGTATGCAAGCAAGGGAGTGCACAATTTAAGTAGTTGAGGAGCATCACTAGGTAAAATCATTACTTCATAAAGAACTAATTGGATAGACCGCTGGTAGATTTCAAACCTAAGGCAGCAGCATTTCTCAAGGTGTAGTGGGACATCCCCAAATTTTAGAATCACTTGAGGTGTGTTGTCGAAATGCACATTCCTGAACTCCCCAATCATATTTAAATTTCATAATCTGCAATTCCAACAAGCCCATACTTATGCATACTGAAATTTGAGAAACAATGCCTTAATATATCCATCAGAGTGGGTTTTACAGTGTTACCTAATAACTGCACTTACAGTCATTCAGAGGGCAACCTGGGTTCATCACAGGTTATGAATGCTGCTGCAGTGGGTGTTACATAGACCCCTCTGGTAACAGCCCCTCCTTTCATCTCACCAGGAGAGAAACTTAAAATTACTTCTATGTAAAGAGACATCTTTATCCACACTCTCCTTCCCATCACCTTTTCCACTCCAATCCGCTCTTTTTCGAGAATTTGCCGCTCTTCGCCCTCCCTTTTCTCGTGTCAGGGTCCCTCCACCTTATCCCAACCTCCAGTCCACCTCAGGCCGCCCTCGCCCCAGACCACCCATTGCCAGGGCTTCTCTTTCGCCCCAGGCCTCTGACTCCACGGAGCTGGAGACCGCTGCCGGCTCCCGTCCGCAGTTCGAGGATCCCCTGACCTGAGCACGCCACGGTCACTCTTTTCCACTCCCAATCTCCTCTCAGCTTTGGCTACGAGGCCCTAAGGGTACTCACCATTCCGGCGGTTGCTACTGTCACTGCTCTGGTTGCTAGGGCCCGCCGGGGTCAGTGCGCGTGCGCACTTCTCGGCGCTCTCCGCGGATGCCATCCCCGGCAGCGGTCCTTTCTCTCCGCCCTTAGGGTGGCGCGAGCGGGGCATTGTGGGACGGCGTGGCGGCCGCCGGGGTCCTCCCGCCCCGCTGCGGTTCGCTACCCTGTGGCTGCCGGCGTCGCGGAGGGCTCCAGAGCTTAACTGAGCATGGAATGGTCGGGGGATGTGCTTTTCCCTGCCCAGAGCAATTTCAGCTGGTCTGCGGTGACATGCCTGCGTAAAGTTTAAAACTTTAGTATCTCCTCTCTAACAGTTGCCCGTCTCATAAAAGAACGTTATATTTATCATTTTCTAACGGAATGTATGATTTAATTTTATTTTATTTTAAATTTCAGAATATTATGGGGGTACAAACAAAAGAACGTTTTAAATTCCTTTCCCCGACAGATTGTCTTTCCGGTCCTTTTCCTGATAGGGGAGAATAAACTGCTTGTTGTGATTAACCTCGCCATCCTACTGAGGATAACCAGAGCCAAACTCGACCAGAATTTCTTGTATTTCTTTATCCGGAACCGTCCAGGGAGCCAGAGGGGTGGCTGAAAGCTCGATTCCACATTTAAAGTATAACAAAATGTTGGTTTTACGTAACTAAGGTGTCTTTTTTCTCCCACCTACCAAATTAGGTAAATATTGTAAAAAGAAAAACAAAAGATTTATGGAGTTGTTAGGAGTATGGAGAAACAGGGACGCAGAAATACACTGCTGTTTATAATTGATGCAGCCTCTCTGGAGGGTTGTAGGCAATATGTATTAAAAGCTTCAAAAACTTTGTGATGCAGCAGTTCCACTTCTAGGACTTCATCCTGAAGAAATAGATATTCTTCACAGAGATGTGGGTTCAAAGCTTTAGTAAACAAGGAGAAAATCAACCCAAATGTGAACAAAAGAGAATTGGTTAGTAGCATTGAACGTGCAAACAATGAAATAATATACTTATGACACAGGAAAGTGACTCCCAATGCTGGGAGCCACTTGAAATCCAAGTGGGTCCTTGGCTTGGTGCAAGAAGGAATTCAGGAGCGAGCTGGCAGTATAAAGTGAAAGCAAGATTTATTCAGAAACTATAGAAAGTCTACTTCACAGACAGAACAGAGGTTAGGTGTCCTTGCAGAAGAGAACTGGCCCAATGGTTCCTGTTGCCCCTCTATTTAAGCAATGGCTTAATTATAGCCTAACAAGGGGAGGAACATCCATGGAGGGGTGGTGTTTTCCTTGAATTAGGGTGACACCCTCCTTTTGACTAAAGTTAGTTAAACAGGAGGTGTCATAGTGTCAGCTGCCTGATGGGAGCGGGAGGTTTTCTTAGAAACTTTTATGGTAATGAAATGTATAGTGAAGCTGTAAGGTCAAGAGGTAGTCAATTTCTCCACCATCTTGGTTCTAACCTGTTTGAACCTGCCCTGCCTACACCCTCTTTTGATCAGAGTAGTTTGAAACTATGTTTTGAGACTTCCTGACTCAGGCAATGCCTATAGCAATGTCCAAAGCAACACCTGCCACTAAAAATATTGCTGAGGTGGCTCACGCCTGTAATCTTAGCACTCTGGGAGGCTGAGGCTGGAAGATTGCTTGAGCCCAGGAGTTGGAGGTTGCAGTGAGCTATGATGAGCCATGATGACAGCCACTGCACTCTAGTCCGGGCAACAAAGCGAGACTCTGTCTCAAAAAAAAAAAAAAATTGCTGAAATGCATCTATTCATATGCAAAGATAGTCACGATATTTTAAGTAAAAATGTTAAGTTACCAAACCAAATAAATTGTTATGATTGTCTTTAAATATATATAGCACACACATGTATACATAAACATATATCTAAAAGGATATTATAAGGGTTTAATGTTTGTTAGGGACTGAATTGTGTCTTCCCAAAATGCATATGCTAAAGGTCTAATCCCCAATGTGGCAGTATTTGGAGATGGGGCCTTTAAGGAGGTAATTAAGGTTAAATGAGGCCTAGTGATGGGCAATACTTCAACTGCACTGGTGTTTTTATAAGAAGAACAGGAGACACCAGGAACACCAGCACAGAAAAAAGGCCATGTGAGGACCTCACTGGAAATCAGCCCTGCCAGCAACTTGATCTTAGACTTCCAGCCTCCAGAACTGTGAGAAAATAAATTTCTGTTGTTTAAGCCACTCATTCTGTGGTATTTTATTATGGAAGCCTGAGAAACCTAATACAATGTTCATTTTCCTTTTTTATGGTCTGTTTTTTGCAATGTTTCATTTTTGTCTTTTCTGATTTGCTTTTCTATGTTCTAAAATGTGGATGTTTTAAATTTTGAAATAAAATAAATTTCATTTTGAAAAAAGGTAATTTAATCATTTTTAAAATAGGAAATAGTAAAATGTTTATTAAAGAAAATAAAAATGTGTATTCATAACATATCCAACTTCTGTTCCTATACTGTTTTTCAGAAGACCTCCATACCTCCTGACCTCTCCTAACTAGAATTCTTCCTTGCCTGCCAATATCTCTACCAATTTTATTTGTCTGTAATGGGAATCTAATCCTCAAACATGTCTGATAACCCCACAGACAATTCATTTTACTAAAAGCTATGGATTATACCATATGGAACTGATGTTAATGATAAAATATCATTAATAAATCAATCTTATCTTAGTACTGGCTCAGAATTCTACTTCCTTGTCATTGCAGTAGAAAACTTTAACCATGAATATGTTTATTTACCACTATATAAACTAATCATCAGAAATTTACTCTCTTCAAATTAATTCACAATATCTTGGTACATTTCACATCAAGAACATTCTGAGTTGCAGATTCTCAAAACTTAAAAACATTCACACAGAAAACAAAAGAATTATGTAACTTGGATCCTTCCTTTATTCTTTTATATCCTGCAAATAACAAAATAGATTACAACTGTTCATCAGAGAATATGGCTTTGTGTCTGCTTGTTCTTATGTTGGGCCTAAATAAAAGAAAGTTGAGAGAAAGTTTAAAAATATTATTGAAACAGTGTCCCAACATTCAGAAAATTTAGCAAACCCTTTGAAAAGTATGGGTAAAATAGTGTTAAATGATAAAATACAGAACCAAATACAGTATATTAAGAAATCCTTAATTTTTATTTTTTTATTTTCAATTTTTTTCCTCCTCCCCCCTCCCCTTTGTCGAGAAATCTTTAATTTTTAAAAATGTAAATCAAACAAAAGAGAAGAAAAATTGTCACATTTAACAGATGATTAGAGATCAAGCAAAATAGCTAAAAGTTATATACCTTAAAATAATAATAATAAAAAAGAACTTAAACCCCAGCGTAGGCACTAATTTATAAGGTTGTTTGTATAGTCAAGAGGTTTATCAATTCAAATTAGAATGAGCATTGTATCAAATTTCAATAATCAATTTCTCAGATTATAATTCCCATTATAGTTATTTGGCAAAAAACCTATTTCTCTCCTCATTATGTGTTTGGTTTGTTTTAAAATAAACAAATCTCTTTTTAGAATCTTCCATGAAAAACTTCCAAATCAGGAGGTAGAATGTGTTAAAAAAAAATACCTTTTGGTTGATGTTCATAATTTAATTTTTAAACTAATGTTACTTTGGGGGAACTATTAATACTACAAATTGGGGCAACAATTCTTTAACTTCTGCCAAGAAGAGCCCCCCAAACCAGTTATGAGCACAACATCCACTGATTAACCAAAATCAAAGGCTAGTTATTAATATATTTATCTTTCCCCTCAACTATATGAAAACAAAAGGCAACTACCAAACTAAATTATAATAAGGATCAGAACTTTTAACATCTTCCAATTCTACACATTTCAAAAGTTTAGTCAAAACTTAGAACTTAATCTAAGGCTAGGAGCAGTGGCTCAAGCCTGTAATCCTAGCACTTAGGGAGGCCAAAGCAGGAGCATCACATGAGGCTTGAGGCTTGAGGCTTGAGGCCAGGAGTTTGAGACCAGCCTGGGTGGCATAGCGAGACCCTTCCTCTACACAAAAATAATTTTTAAGAATTAGCCAGGCATGGTAGTGCACACCTGTAGTTCCAGCTACATGGGAGGCTGAGGCAGGAAGGATCACATGAGACCAAGAGTTTGAGGTTGCAGTGAGCTATGATGATACCACTGCACTCTAGAGCTGCAGTCCCCAACACCCTCCACCCCAGCCTATTAGGAACCAAGCGGCACAGCAGAAGGTGAGCAGGGGGTGAGCCAGCTGTATTTACAGCCACTCCCCATCACTTTCACCAAAGTGAAAACTAAGGCACTGATTTTTACAAGGTGATTTTCTTAACATTCAGATATTTCAGCATATCTTGATCTGCCTCTTTTAAAAACTAGATAAATCTCAACCATTTCTGGATGCAAGATGAGTACCCGAAAGTCTATAGCAAACCACAAAAAAGACATAACATAGTCAAGGCAGGAGGATCGCTTGAGCCCAGGAGCTTGAGGTTGCTGTGAGTTAGGCTGATACCACGGCACTCGCCTGGCAACAGAGTGAGACTCCGTCTCAAAAAAAAAAAAAAAAGAAGACATAACATAGTAGACCTTCTAATCATTCTAGGAATAGAGCTTTCAGGTCTCCAGCTTCAAGATACTCACTCACCTGATTATCACATTAAAATGACTGAGAATTTACTTGTTCATTTCATTTCAATTCAGTAATTTAATCCCCAGTATGGAAATTTGCTTGGACCTTATCTATTACAGGCTATTTCCAAAAAAGTCCCCTTTCAGCTATGAAAATGTTTTAAATCTGTCATTGTAAAGATTCTTAGTTGTCCCTAAGGATCCCCAGGGATGAGAGTAGGGGATGAGCCAGACTGGGCTTTTCAAAATAAAAAACTTAATTATTTTAGTTATCGATTCATTCATTTAGCCTTTGTTTACAGAATTCCTAAAAAGCCAGAGTTTGAGGCCCAAAAAATTTGACTAGAATCCTGATTTTAGCGTCACCTAGCTGTATGATTTGGTTAAAACACTTTAAGTCTGTTTCCTCATTTATAAAATAAAGTTGTTCTTTGATCTATGAAATGGTCAACAAAACAGTTTTCTCATTATA